AATTGCCATTAGGCAAACTCCATTTGGCAAAGTTTCCGTTAGACAAAGTGTCCGTTAGGCAAACTGTCGTTAGGCAAAACATCTCTAGGCAAATCGTCTGGTCACGTAACCACTTGAGCCTGATTGTGGGGAAAAAAGGCAAACTTTCTTGTTGAACTTTTTCAGGACAATTCGTAGTGGTAATGAAGGAGAAACAACTGAACGATGGCACATGAGTCAAGACTAATTGAAATTTAAGCATGATTGACGACATTATCACCCCTGAATTCAGCTCGTTATCAAAAGAACAGAAAGCGCTAGTAACGCTCGCATCATCAGATGCGATGTCTATGCACATTTGTGTCGTGTGCTTTCTTGCTACATTCAGTGGCTGTGTAAGTGCCGTCTAATTCGAATATCAGCAAAAAGAACTGATTGAAATGTCATTCATTAGTCGAGGTGAGTGCACCATTCAGCGATGTGATCGTATAAGCTTCATAAATGCGATGCATTGTGAATAGACCTACCCAACACATTATGATGTAAAATCGAATAAACAATGTTCATTGAGAAAGTGGAAATTGAACTGAACAACGAATTCTCCATAGAAAAAAGAAATATGCAAAAGCATTTTCTTCAAAACAGATGAAGCTGATAGTTTTGATTGCGTGACATTTTGGCTGTCGCCAAAACGCTTGAGGGTGTGTTGCTTAACGCGAGTAATGTGAACCAAATGATTCAAATAATACTTTTTAAGGCACCCACAGTTATTTGAAAGTTATTTGAAAATGGATCTTCAACCAAGAACATAAGATCTTGTTCCAGTATCCAGTATGAAAAATGAATAAAAAGTGCCAATTTTTTGCAATGCTTGACTTCGCACAATAATGGGCAGAAATATGCTAAGTGATGAATAAATGAATGAAGCACTTAAATCAGCTGCATTCAACGAGACAACTGAAGTCGAAAAAGATGTGGATTCTGAATGATGACATTTAGAGGATAGCACCACAATGAATCTGACGCTGAAAACGATTATGTTGAGCACATCAATTGTTAGCATCAAATGTTTTTACACATTCTTCTCGATAACTCGTAGTCAGATCATATGGTACACAAACAAACACACAATCTAGCGTCATAAATATATCACTGTTTAGACACTTCTATCACTACAGACAAGCATATCATCATCTATCTGCACATCACCTACACCTTTCACTCTTTCTGCTCCACTTTACAATGACTTTTCAATTTTGTCGCTCACACCAAACGTATGCATAAATTCATTTTTAAGATTTCATTATAGATCAGAAAATTTTCATTATAGATTAGAAAAGTTTGCATTTATTTCTTTAGCGACTACCTGAGGGCACAACACAAATTGTAGTATAGGTGACGTTTTCAGATAATGCGGTATGCACATAGGAATATGGTTCCTGAAAAACATTGTCTAGCGTTAGAATCAAGCATCAGAAACCCTCTGTTAAGCATAGGTGAGTTTGTCTTCGAGTTTGTGAGTAAACTTCGTTGACGCAAGTAGAAAGCGCAAATTGAATTCACAGTGCTTGCTGGACGAACATGAAATGTTCTCAACTCCACCGTTTTTCTCGGTAGTGAAAGAAAGTCACTGGTGACACCTGTATGTTTGAGTGTATCAAATTCAATGCACAATTCTAGGTGTATATCTTGAGAATATAGAAAAATATTCATACTAGGTTGGCTGACCGTCCATGAGTATGAAGCATTTTTGCATCATTAAAAAATGAACTATCCTCTCGATCTTTTGTGTCTGGTGTTGTTTCTATTTCTATTTCACAGTTTTGACAAAATGCTTCATTCTATTCTGTCCTGCCCTACTGTTGTTCTCTTCTATTCTATTCTGTGCTGCGTGTCTTTTCTTGGAACTGCTCTTTTCTATTCCTTGGAATAGAACGGGAACACAACAGGAATAGAGCATTTTGATTGGAATAGAAACATCACTATTTGTGTCATTAACTCAAAAGTTTCAAAGTTTTCCCTTCTAGCGATGATTGATTTTAGCGATGCAAAAATCTTGTGTATGGCATAGAAGAGGAGTTATGCAGCGAAAGGGAAAAAGCGCTCGCTTGTAAGCAAGCATACTCGCTGAGAAATAGATGTAATGCTCTTTCGAACTGATTCAACAGGTTCATGCATTTTTCCACATCAATAAGACATTCATATTCACAGCCAAATCAATCGCACTTGATAGACTTGTACGTATGTACATTATTGAATTTTGATGAGCATCTATTGTGATTAGTGATGTCTCTATTTCGCACTTTTGGCAGAATGTTCTATTCTATTCTATTCCGCTCTTAAACAGCTCTATTCTATTCGGCCGTTTGAACTGTTCTATTCTGTTCTAAACTGTCCTATTCTGTTCCCTGAATCAGAAAAACAGCGCGATAAAAATTGTGGTAATTAGGGTTGGAGAGGTGGTTTTTTGACGTTTTCAATGCAAAACGGAAAAGAATTGGGGCAGGTGAAGGTTCTCTACGCATTAACTTGACAGCTTTTGACGGTGATAAGAGGGAAAAAGCGGAGGGTTCCGGACTTTGTTAGTGAGCTTCTTTGAGGAATAGAGGTACCGTAACCCTGAACCATTGAATGCAAATTCGTTATGACGAGTGAGGATTAGCCATTCCATTCCATATTTAAAACATTTTACCTAGGTGAACGACCCCGCACGTACATGCCCCCCATTGTTGGTAAGCCCGACTTATCCCGAATGTCATTTCGAGCGCAGAAGATCTCAATGTTTTGCTCCCAAACTGATGCACATTTTCTCATAGTGATGAATCTGGAATGAGTTGTTTGTTCAATCCGACTCAATTCTTTCGAGCATAACCTCTTATTGAAGCATGAAATGAGAACGATTTCTGTGATAGACTGCTCCTAGAGTCAAACTACGATCAACAACTGAAAATAGGGTTGATGCAGAATCAGACTCGCATCTTTCAGTTGTTAAATGAGGGAATTTTTCATATACAGCCTTTAGCAGATTTCAGAATTAACCACGATAAGTCGGTCTTGATGAACTGAATCGCCTCTATTTGACGGCCTTTTTTCTCTCACTAATGATATCGAACATTATGTTTTCTGGCGAAGCCGATTCACTAAAAGCTATCAGCACCTAATTACTTGCAAAAAATTTCTCCACCATCCTTGTAGAAGCCTCAAACATGCTTAGACAAAATAATAACAATAGTTATAATAATAATAATATTAATAATCATAATAACAATAATAACGATAATAATAATAATAATACCAATAATACTAAAAATAATCGGACACATTTTCTGTTGATGAAAATAACCATCGGTAACGTCACATTAAGCCTAAAATAATAACAATGGGAGGAAGTGCTACGCGAACAGAAACGACTGAAAAAATACTTTATTTGCAAATATAATACATAGTGAATAGCTACAGTACCGAGCAGAGTTCAACTAATTAATTCGATGAGGTTCGTCGACAATACGCGAAATATAATTAAGATATACAATTAACTTTAATGCAAATGAATTATACTGAAGCAATGTTTATCGAATACAGCTATATGATGAATTTTTACCAATCATATAATAACATGAGTTGAATACGAGGAAAACACAAATTTAGGAGTGCTTAGCAAATAAGAAATTGAAAGTCATAAGTTTGAAGGAACCAAAGAACAGCTCATAGAATCGCGAAACAAAAACTGTTCAACCGAATAGCACCATAAAAACTCGCTCAACAATTCATACATTTGTGTCTGAGTAGAACATCGATGACTATATGTTAACATTTACCGAAAAATACAAGTGTCAGTTACATTAAAAATTTTAAAGAACTGATGTAATCAACAAAAAAACTTGCTGATAAAAGCAAAAAATGCATTCACAAAAAACACTGAGATCAAAACAGAAAAAAGTCGACTAATTCACAGATGAATAAATACAAGCGAATGGAATAAGGCTGAATTTTGAGGTGTTCATAATCATGAAACAATCAACAAAAACGAAATATTAACAACAACAAATAGGAAGGAATGAGGATGGAAGAAGAGGAAAGTAGTGATTATTTGTTACTAAAAGATGTAGCGGAGCACAATTCGTAGGATTTATTCTCGATATTGCGGGTGACAGTCAGAAATAACTGCAATCGAATGGAAGGTGTGACTGGATTCAAAGCAAAAACAGCATAAAATGGGAAGATTAAGAGAAAAGAGGGATGCTAATTCAATGAGAGGTTGAGTGTGAATTAAGAACTGTTGAGTGACGATGAAACCGTAAAATTATTCTTCAAAACTCGAATACCAAATGGACGTTGAAATGCGTGCATAGTACATAAGGGGTTATACGCTTCTACAGAAACGGAGTGAAACTGTATGGCAGCCATCGACAAGTAGGTTAGTCGTCTATAAGGAAATTCTGTATCGAAAATCTTCAGTGTAGTAGCTAAATAATTTAAAGTATCTAAATAATAGCTAAATAATTTTTCTTTTCTTTTTTCACCTCTTTAAAATCAAATTCTCATATTCATCTCGCGGACCAAAAATTATTGTCGGCGGGCCAATTTTGGCCCACGGGCCGGGGTTGTCGATGCCTGCTGTAAGGACTAGGATGTTCTTAAAAAATTTGCAACAGATGAGAAGCTCACAGTGGTGAATATAGATGAATGCATCATTCTCTAAGCATAAATTGAAGCCTTCTTCCTAGGCGAAGGCCCACACCTGATAATAGGCTTGAGTATAAACTTAAATCTTAGTCTACCAAATGAATCCTAGAATGTTCGCACATTCGTATGAGTTTCGCATAAACGTGCCGTGAAACATCCTTATAGTAGAAGGAAGCGAAAATATTTTGATAATAGCAGCGTTTCACAGAAGCAATAAATGTGAAATGACAATATCACATTCGGTCGTTCTCAAGAACAATTTTGAAAGACCTTTTCTGACAGAGTGCATTCACCAGCACATTTGATCAGAAAGAAATAAAGAACGTTTGTTCGCATCATGCCAGCATAACATAACGCTCATTGTTCGCTGTGACATCCACTTTCTCTGAACGCTCCTGTTTCTCGACAAGCATTTCCGGATCATCCGATATGTCATAGTTTCGGATTTGCCAATTACGATTTATTAACCAAAAACGAAAAAATACTCGGAATATCTGAAAGTTTTGTTATATTGAGTATGTTTCTCCCAAATTTAATCAGTTGTTAAACGAGCAATCTCTCACTTAGAACTTATTGTCAGACAGTATTTTGATTCTCGATTCAGTTTTGTTTGATTTCGGTTGCTGAAACGATGAACAGGAGTCCGCTGAAACTCTTTACTGACACCTTTCGAGTGGAAGTTAACGTCACTAACCTTAAACTTTTAATACAACGACTCGAGCTGATAATAAATGAATTCAAAGTAAATGAAAAACTTACTGAGGCTTCGGCTCGATACTGCGTAAAGACAGCAATGAAGAAGGCGATAAAAAAAAGTACCGAACATGTGATGACTGTCAGATCATCATTGTTCATCGGTGTTGGCGAGACACGATAAAGCCTTCAAAAATTACTTTTTAATGCTTAATATCATCCTAAACCTTCTCAAAAAGTGCTCTCCTAATGCCATAATTTGTTCTGCAGTACCGAATTTTGAAGAAGTTTTACTCCAATGATGCTAAAATCTTGTAAAATCTCTTAAAACATATTGCTGAGTTGATGCAGACTTTCAAAAAAACAAAAGGCATAAAATTTTCGGCAAAATTCAATAAGAATGCTCTACCAGGTTCGCATAAACTTCTGGAGGACTGAAGTGAGACTGACCTCAACGAACGATACTGATCGGTGACCCGTAGAAAGTGAACACCTAATACTGCACAAACGACCATAACCACTAAAGCGAACAAAAATACGCCATTCAATGTTACATCTTTTACGTCAATTCGGGGCACATGAACACGTTTCAACTGAAAAGAATAATCCTTACTGATAGAGAGGAAATTGAGTGAATACTACGATACGAAGCAATCGATTCAACCGATCTCTGCAACAAATAGTTTTCAGTTCGAAAAACGCACAGCCATTTACCGTCCACTTATCACAGAATTTGCATATGAAGTGCTCATTGTCATTTCAGATCGACTACCTAGCGTTGCAATATGCTATGAAATGAATTGTTCAAAACACTAACATCAACGCACGGATGACGTTTGTAATTGTAACCGCAGAGTTCACATCGTGGTTGTGGATACATTTTTTTTGCTGAGATTTCCAACCAATGCTACAAAAAATCGTCCACTTATAACTCAAAACTGAATAACATTTGAAGAAGAATTACCCCCAAATATTCATTGTGCAAAATGGATTAATTTATAGAATGTCACTACTAACGCGAAAATTCGGCATAAATAGATAATATGATATTGAGATAAAAGAGGGTACGTAAGTAGATCTGACAGGAATGGGCAATGGATTAGAGTGTACACCGTTTTGGACATCGACGGCATGTGTTCGATTCTTCGTCGATCCGAAATCTCTGTTGAATTTCAACGTTGTTGTTGAAAATTTGGAACACAGGTAGGAAATTGAAGAGATCTTAGTTTCAATAGCCACCATGAAATTTAAATAGGATAAGAAAAACATACAACAAGACAACCGATATGTACAAATTGCATGGTTCCTGAACAACGACATGGTGATACCAATGGATTGCGACATGTTTCGTTCACTAAATGACAGATTCGGCACACTGGTCGACCCATCGACGAGAGTGAAACGGCTTAAGATTAATCATTTAGAAATTATTGAGATTCAAAAATTACGGAATTCATGATGATTCAAAAACTATGGAGAAATAATCAGTAACTTATTAACGAAACAAATGAATCGAGTTTTCATGGGTGGTCTTTTACTTGCAGACAACTTTTTACAAGGTATATTTTAGAATGCACTGTGAAGTGCGTCATAACGAAGTATTACTTCTGACAAAACGCTAACCACTGTTAGGTGTTAAATGTGCACAAGGAGTGGTAGTAATTAGTGGGTTAGGCATCAGTAGCGTCAGCTGCTCTTCATCACCGATACTTCTCAGTATCTGAATATCCACGGTTCGATTCACAAATTGAGAAGCATTTCGCAACGTTCAAAAATGAGGCAAAATTCGGCAAAAACATTTTTAATTTGTTCGTCTTCTGAAAGAAAAACAGTTGTTTGAAATTCATAAATACCTCTTGTTGAGTTGAGTTCTCTTTGGACGCAGAAGACTCGTCGATCACAATACCACTGCAGTCCTTATGGCTCGATGGAAGATTTGCATGTTGTTGCTGAAGCAAAAAATAATAATTCGAAATTGCAGTCAACGAAAAATACTTTTCGACTGGCTTGAATTCTAATAGTGCAATAGTGCAATACTCAAGTAATCGACAGGATGAAACGAAATATTGAGACAGTTTCAATTATGTTCGGTTCTAATTGAAATAAAAATGAAAAATGACGAAAGGAAATCGAAAAACGAACCACAACACTTCCGACTGGAAGGGATGATGTGGAGAGAGAAGTTTTCACCATTGCAACACACCATTCAGATAAATTCTTCTCGCTCTTTGCTAACTTCACCATCCCCTAAAGGTGAATTGCTTGCATAAAGAAGATATCTGAACCTGAACTGAAACTAAAAACTAAGTCATTCAAGGAGACAGCACTCTGTCACAAGCATAGAAGATCAATTATGCTGTGTTATAACTTCCTGAGAAATTGTGATATTCATTCTGTGACCATTACATACGAAAAGAATTTTTTTCCATTTTCACTCCTTGAGCATAATAATCGCCAAAAAACTATTTCTGCTTTGATTACTGAGATTGAGCATCCAGTGATGCAGTTCAATATCCAAGAGAATAAGCTGTTGGTAACTCAATTAAAAAATAACACAAATAGTCAGCTGAATATGACAAAAGAGCGTTCATGTTTCTGCTAATGTTCGTCTCATAAATGTGACAGTAATATGATCAATCATGCAGTCGAAATACGATAAGCGCAACTGAACTGAATAACAGATGACGTCTCAGAAGAGCAACGAGAGGCACTCATTGAGTCTGATGAACGACTTTAATTATATTCGTTTGGTGTAGTTGCAACTAATAAGATTACTTGGCCTAAACATTAACCTAATAAGAGCTGTTGTGATGTTACGTATTTAAAATCAACGAACAGATTATCACTAATTTACATGAATTCAGTAACTATCTTCTTCATTAGAGTTCTTTGCTTATTTAAATTCAAATACTGATGTAAGTTTCCATAAATTCCAAAAACTGCTCTCTACATATGACATTTTACAAACTGAAGTGAAACAATCAAAGATGCTCATGAAATTCGAATCAGCAGAACGAATTATGTGTGATATGCCGGTTTATATTTTTGCAAATCGATAATCAATGATAAATTTGTGTAAGGCATCTTTTTCTTTCAGAGTGACTGAGCCGCCAGATATATCAAAATACGATGAGTGTGGAATGACATGCACAACCTTCAGTTTCTTTCAACGGTCCTAAGCGTCTCAAACTTTTAATAACACTGAACACAGAAATGACGACTTACTTGGCTCAACGGCGCAATGTCGCCGACCCTGTTCCAATTTGTTGTTTTTTCGTGTTGACTGAATTTCTTTCTGCAGTAACAAATCACTGAACGCGATTCGACATTTATTTACATGAATAATCGACCGATGCAAAAACGAACAACAAAAAGTTGAATGTAAATCGTCGTCCTTTACATGAGAAGTTAGATAGCTGTATAGCAGTTGCTCGCTCTCACAAGCAGAAAATGAGGAGGGACGAAATAAGGTGGTTAGCAAATAATTGTCAATTGATTTGGTAACATAACAGCTCAAAGATAATCCATCGCTGTCCAATAAAACTTTCAAAATGCTTGTTTAACCACAAGAAATTAATTGCTTTGATTACTACAATGAATTCTTGAGCGCAAGCTTCTTGATCAATGAAACTAAGATGTAGCTGGTTTGTCGCTAAGATGTAATAGATTGCCACATGAAAGAAAATTACGCATTTTTAAAGGTGCATTACGCGACCAAATGTGAGCGCCGAGTAATAACCGCTGCTAAATACACGGCTACCGTTGATAATGACCATAACGAAGAAATCGATACCGATTGCAAGGGCAATAAGAACGATACCGAACATAAACTAAGGGAATGCACAATTCGATTTTTGATGAACAGAATGAATGGATTGATTTAAAATACATTATGCTTTTTTAATTCATTGTTTACTTTAAGAAAATATGCGACTGCAAATGGGAATCACCTTCGAAAAATGGACAATTAATTTACCATGTTTATGTTATTCGATCTTTTATCTAACGAATCAATCACTGTTCATTTGCTAAATGCATGGGAAAGAGTATTTTATTACTGATGTTTTCATGAATGAGTGAGTGCTATTCGAAATTTGTGATCAAACGAAAAAGAGCTTGATTATTGTACGTATCGTATTGTTTACTAGAAAGAAAGAATTCCGCGTTAGTATGCGATACTGATGACTGCATTTAAGGAAAATCGTCATTCCCATTTGAATGGAAAAGTTGCTCAAAAATTTCGATGAATACAAATCGATTTTTCCCATTTCTTGCTTAAGGGCTCTTCCTGACTAAATCAAGCAAAAAAGACTTTATTCGTTTATTTCGGACGAAAACCGTTTGAATGGCTAGTTTTGATTCCCATTTACACAGGCAACGTTCAATCGCGTTAATGTGGTATCATCGTCATCATCACATCGAATAAGCGATGCATCTTGAATAAACGAACTATTTTAGCATATCGTTGCACAAAGTAAACGTCGCCACTAAATGCGTATTTGACTAGCAGTACAACCATAGAAAATTAAGCGAAACATTTCAACATCAGCAAGAATGTTGTTAACTGCTAAGAAATTGTGAGAGAAAATAATTGTGTAAAACGCTTTCACCATAAAATGAACCAGTAGGAAGATCTTACTCAAAATGTAACAAAACAATAATTCTTTATATTGCATATGATAATACTGTGTTCAATAGAAAATATTATTGCTGTAGGTGGCTAACAAATACGTAACACATTCCAAATGAACGATCTAATCGATCACACCAGTGCGAATTAGTGATGGCAACGATGCGAATGAGGATAATATATTTATTGAAATAATACTAATTGTAAGCTTATGTTGTTGACAAAGGATTACCTGCGCAATCAGAAGTATTACGATGACGTTCAACGTTTCAACATCAAACCAACTTTTTGAATCATTGAAGGCCATGATGGATTTTCGATGGATGGATCAAGGGTCAGGGATTATGAAATGTAAGGTAGAGGATTACAGATAACCTAATAATAATTGGAGAGATAGACAATAAGGTGATGGCAGTAGTGACTGTGATACTGATAGAAAATATGACAATGGCATTAGTGACTGTGATGAGGATAGTGATAATGACGAATGCAGTGAAAAAAACTGGGCGAGATAACATGAGGTAAAATAATAAATGAATGAAATAATTACAGCAATGGTGATAATAATATTGATGGACTGATAGGAGTAATGATTATGATTATGATGATAAATAAAGATGGTTACGGAGTAATCAAAGCGAAGACCGAGAATAAATAAATAAGGAAAGGAATGATAAAATGTCAGGAAGTGATAAGTTATGAGATGAATTTGGGGGCAGAAATGCTACTTATACGCATCAATGAGTAGGATTTTGCACTGACATGCTTGCGCAGCTTTAAACAAGTACTGGATGACTGTTGCTGACAGCAGTGTTGCATCAGCCGCAAAATTAATCTCGATAGTTAAACATTTTGTTATCACTCTATTGCAATTATTTAAATTTTACAATATTTTTACCCTTGCTAATGATTGGTTGATTCGATAGGAGGGTAAGAGATGTATTGCGTTCATTAGAGGAGAGTATAATAAGATAAACGAATCATCAGGAACTACTTCAAATCGTACTTAATGATTTTAAATAGCGAAAGTGAACGACTTACAAGGAGCAGCAACAACGTAAGCAGGTGGTATTCCTAGAATGAACAAATCGCACATCTTGCGCCTGTCTCTCATTTGTCATGATGATTTGTGCAAATCAACTAAATGTGCATCATCTGCTTCATTTGCACGCTACTTCACTGCATTTGCGCACACTGCAATCTATCTAATGCCACTTCGAAAACGCTTTTTTAACTGCAATTCGCAACACTTTCTCAAAATACATCGACGATACCATTTTACCAAAACGTTCGTTCAAATTTCCGCATTGTGTTTTTAAAAAATCCGCGCTAAACGAACGCATGTAAAAATCGTTGAAAGTGAATGCGGTTGCAACAGTCAGTGCAAATTATTTAAGAGTATTAAATGATTACAATATCATCATCCTCTTCAGCGCTATTCGTCGACTTTGTAATCGGCACTTTCTTCTTATTCAAAGGAAGAATAAAACCAAAAGACAACTCTGTTCTACTTTCCATAAATCGTTTTCTTTTCAAATACACTAATGCTTACAGTAAAAAATAAGAAAACAATATACTTTGCAAGACTCTGCGATGAGCTGTCATGAACAAAATGCACTATAATAGCACTGCATCAATGCTTCATTTGAGCATATTAGTTTATTCCTAGAAATGAATCACTTCAAATGATCAGTGTTCCTAATGAGGTAGGTTACTTCATCTCTAGATACCTCAACCGTGCAATGATCATTGCTGAACATGATGACGACGCTCTCATCGCATGTTCGGTATACAATCACACCAAAGTCCTTTAATACTTGCGAATGAACGATAACAATAAACTTTTTCCACTATTCATTCGTCTGTTCTATCATTAACTTCATTAGTACTACTAATTTAGTATGAACCTTACGAGAATTATCTGTGGGTGCAAGAAAATAGATGAAGTTTAATTCATTTCATCTTTTCTGATTCATTTAATGCAAATAAAAGCTCTGAAAGGAAAAATTGCATTGACAACTGGAAATAAAAATCAATATAACTAATGTGAAAGGAATTCATAACTACGCTGACTTCACCTTTCTGAACAAGCAGGATAAAAAACATGGAGAGTGAGAAATAATATGGAAGGTGTTTAAGAAAGTAATCTGCTACAATGCTTCAGCTGAAATAATTGAAATCAAAAATAACTGTTGTTATTTAAGAGCAGTCGTGCGAGAGTTTTCCTTCATCACGAACAACAAGTGAACGCATGCAAGCATTTCATCGTAATAATTCATGCAAAAACTCAGCGCACAGAACACACAACTATCAGTATAAACAGCATCGACATGTGATTATTTCTGTCGCAAATCACCACACGAAAAACAGCTGCCACTATCATAGCGATAAAGTGCATCACCAATAATAACAACAGCACATGTCTGCGAATTCCGCTCAAAATCCAGCTCAAAAAGCGATCAGTATTACTGTTGTCCTACTAGCATAATGAGTGCAGTGAATAATGGTTCATAAGTTTACAAAAAATACACCTTTCAATCAATTCTTCTCGCTCATCGAACACCACAATATGTTGTTTGTATATTGCTAGTTCTTACAGCAGTGCTGTTATTCA